GGCATCAGCAGACGGCGAAGGACAAAGAATGCTCTGGTGCCGTGCCCTGCCTTCGTTGTTTGGGGTTTAACTTGCTTTCTCAAAAACTTATAGTTTGAACGGATATGGGAACTGAATGAAGTTTTGAAGCCTATACTAGACTGAAGCCGTGAACGCCTGCCGAGGGCCCATGAAAAAGCTCCGGGCAAGGGCCGTGGAAGTTCCCACGTCTGAACCCTTGCCCAGGACCGTGCCGCAAAGTTCAGGGTCTTAGAGCCAGCCTGTCGTCAGCACCGGCATTCCGACGACAAGATGGCGCAAACTTACCGGTTCGCCCTGCATGTTTGTGTGCGATGCGCCTGGCCCGAAATTGACTGTCAAGCGCCCGGCTGCATCTACGAAAGCCGTAGTGCTTCTTGCTGCTGCGAATGAAAGCGCGCAGCGCTACGGGCTGATGTGGCAGATTTGCACCAGGCATTATTATTGTTGTCCTAAAAGACCATTTGACGTTCTTGTTAAACTAGCTCGTGAAATTGCACATGGTGCTTGCTCGTGCCTCCCTCGATCGGACCGAAGCCGATATCTTGGCAAGTCATCGGATCAACTCGTCGGTCTTTACGTTCTTGGCAAATATAAGATCTCCCCGGTGGCCATGTGACAGCCATCCTTCGCACAGTTTCTTGGAAACATGGTGGTTCACGGTTGGAGGGATGTTTAGGGGAATGAGGCTTAGAGGGCATGAATGATTTAAGTGTGTGCGGTACAAGAATACGAAACCACCCAACACCATGGAAGGTTTAGTTTCGAGGCATACGGGATCTTGAAGCATTCGCTGTTTCAATTGGGGCCTCGGTTTTGTTGTTCACGTGACTTTCCTTTTGTACTGGCTGGCTTTGGAGCACGTTGGCTAGTTGGGAGCCCTTGTGAGTCGTGAGTGTGTGGACTCCTGTGGACTTTCAACCCAAACCACTTTTACACAGCATTGTAGAGAAAGCCGACCCGTAACGGCGTAACGCCCGACTGCCTGCGTCAGCGCAGGCAGGACGTTGATCACGACAATTCACGACATGTCTAGCCTGCGGCAAGGGGAGTCTGTGGTCAATTTCTGGGTGCGAAGCGAGCTGATCTCCTACCGCTTTTATTTTGCATCCCCCGATATCCCCCACAATATTATATACGATCTTTGGTGCGCAATACTGAGTAGTCGGGGGGTGACTCTTTAGATCTTCCCATTCTCCGGTGCGTTGCACCTTGCGATAGAAAGAATCGACACAAGTGGATCAAGTTGTAGGCAGCAGGTTTGTTTCGAGTAGCCTTGCCGTTAACTTCTACGGACAAGATTTCGTGAACACAGGAATCGTTGCATGGCTCGAGTTCGATGTGGCAAATAAGTATGACAGTAAGCGCCTGCAAAGACAGACAGACGGAGAGACAGACAGACAGACAGACAGACCGACAGACAGAGAAGCCTCTGCTTTTTTGCGGCCATGGAGCATGGCAATGAAACACTGCAGGCTTTGAGCATTCCGTGCAACAGGCACTTCTTGAAGGACTCCGAATCTGGCCCCTGGAAGGACTATAACAATCTGGCCCTGGGATTCCTCTCTCAAGCAAAGCCCAGGGCCGGGAGCGAAGGAAAACAGTTTGACCTCTTGGAAGGGACACGCAAGTCAGAGAAGCCGCCCTGCTGGAGTTGTTACAGCAGACCCATCCGCTGCCGCAAATCGTTGCAAAAAACACTGAGCATAGTTTCCGCTTCGACCCTTAAGGGATTTAGGAGGCACCCGAAGAGACAGCAACTGTACTGTAGTCGCTTTCAATCTTAGTCTTCGGGTGCAACGGTTGTGTAACTCGACAAGGCGAAGAAAGAACAAACATCGCAAGGCTTCCAGCATGCTGATCTTCAACCTCCTAGTTTACTGCTTCTATGCTGCAAACCAGACCTGTCCGCACAGTGTCGCATGCACCCAGTCTGCAGCCGCTCGCACGACAAGCTGGCAGTTTGGCAATCTTGTGTTTTTTGGTAAAAGATGTGGTCAGCAACTTCACAGAAGTCAGGCAGCTCTGAAAGCCCGCAGCATGGCAGCACTACGAAAATTAGATGCGGGGCCTCAAGGCTTGGAAAACCCCTCCCGAGCTGGCGAAGGCAACGCGGTCCTCCGACGGACGAGGACGTCGAGGTGTCTAAACACGTCCCAACGGAACCGCAGTGGGCACCTGGCATGAAAGACACATATAGCTTGACTGTTGGAGCTAGGGACTTTAGCGCCAAGGGAGGCGACTGGTAGAGGTTCGGTCAGTTTGTGTCGAGGGGCGTCGTAGGGCTTGCTTGCACTGCATTTGCCTTCGAACATGGCAAACAACTTTTTGTTTGGACCGGCTTGAACAAACCACAAATCCTCAAAGCTTCGGCCAACTGCGGCATGACTTATTTCAAATAACCTATTTCTCAAGAGTCTTGCCTTCGGACCATCCGCGTCAAACTGGCATTGTCAATGTGCTATGGGTGCCATGTGTATATAGCCCTATGAACCGAAACAGGCCTGCAGAAGCACGTGCATCTTCCGGCTACGGTCAGCTTAGCCTAGACTGAGCAGGAGCGCAGCATTGTGCATGCCGCTGCGCAAGCCCAAATGCTAATCAGTCGCAAAGCTCGTCTCCATCGGCACCCCAAACCCCAAAGGCTGAGATACCTTTGCACGATCCCCTTCTTGCAGGAAACTGCAAAAATGAGTGCGTGTGTGGTGGGCTCATCGCGTAAAGGCCGCGGGGCCTGTTCGCAAGGAGTCCTACAAAGTGACAAGTTAGCGCGCTCGCGGAATCTCAGGACAATGATTGTCTATGCTTACTTACGTTTGCTAATAGCATGATTGTATTATGACTCTGGATCTTCTTCCTGCCATTGTCAGCATTGCTTTTGCTATTGCTGTATAACTGCACATAATAGGCCAGGACCATGAGCTGTGCTTGTTTGTGCATGTTTCATGCTTTCCTAATTTGTATAAATTAAGTGTGCACGGCTGTATAGTCGCAGCTGGCTTCGTGCAGACAACGGTCACCGGTTGTTATTCGGCAGCTGCTATCGCTTGAACGTGCGGCCTGACACGGCTGCAGGACCATTGTGGTTTGCAAGTGGAAAGGCGGTATACGGTATGCGATTGGTGTGTTTGCACCTGCACTGCTGCTTTACATTGCTTTTTTATTGGTCTACGACTATGACGACGACGACGACGACGACGACTACTGCTACTACTGCTACTGCTACTGCTACTGCTACTGCTACTGCTACTGCTACTGCTACTGCTACTGCTACTGCTATTGCTATTGCTACTACTACTACTACTACTACTACTACTACTACTACTACTACTACTACTACTACTACTACTACTACTACTACTACTACTACTACTACTACTACTACTACTACTACTACTACTACTACTACTACTACTACTACTACTACTACTACTACTACTACTACTACTACTACTACTACTACTACTACTACTACTACTACTACTACTATACTACTGCTACTACTACTACTACTACTACTACTACTACTACTACTACTACTACTACTACTACTACTACTACTACTACTACTACTACTACTACTACTACTAGAAGCAGAAGTAGAAGTAGTAGTAGTAGTAGTAGTAGTAGTAGTAGTAGTAGTAGCAGTAGCAGCAGCTGGCAGTAGCAGTGGCAGTGGCAGTCGCAGCAGAAGCAATAGCAGTTGTAGTAGCAATAATAGCAGCAGGAGCAATAGTAGTGGCAGCAGCACAGCAGCATCGGTGCTGGGCTTCTTTCAATAACCGCAGAACCCCAAACCTTGGAGAACCGCGGCTTATTTTGGCTTTCAGCGTGGCGTGCAACAGCACAGCGACATACATCGTGAGGAGATACATCCTTCTCCGGGCATCGACGCACCAGCTCGGCGCACTCGGCGTGGGCTCAACAACCTGAGACTGGACTTCGACAAGACCAGTTGACCAGTTCGGAGTGGCAGGGGCGTGGAGCAGGCAAGGCCTGCGCTTGGAGTTTCACTGAGCAATGTGAACGGACGGAAGGTGAGCTGTCTGTTGGATGAGAGTAGCTGGACCATTGGCACACTGCGAGCCTTCGCCGAAAGCTGCCGTTCTGGATCTCAGAGCAAACAAGGGCAAGTAGCAATGGCATCGCAAGAGGCAGAACAGGGATGCAGCGGTCCGAGACTCTTCCATGCACTTGCAACTCCACGACTTTGAAAAGCTGCGGCATGCGTGGCTCCAAACGTAAGGAGACATAAAGCCTCTGTCAGGTGACTGCTGTCTGTGGCTACAAGACCAGAAGATTGAGCAATGCTCGGCATTTCGCACTGCATGCATTCTTCACACTGACACCACTCTACGCACCCATGTGCAGGGACCTTCAGCACGCCCGCCTTTGTTGGCAGCACGCTTTGCTCGCACGAGGAAACAGAACTGCACGCGTGCCGATCACCTGCCGACCAGCTGTCACGTCAAAGGCCAAACCAACGTCAGGCATCGACGGCAGTTTCAACTTGGAAGTGGCCCGAATCGCCTGCGGACGAGGTGGATATCGCGGATGTTTCAACATGCGCAGCTAAAATTGAAATTCCCGTGAAACCTTGGGTTAACCTCGGTGTAATTTTCGAACAGCTGCATAATGTACAGATCCAAGTCATGGATCATACAAGTAGGGTAGCATATGGACAGCAAACGCTTGCTTCCAGGCCGATGCATGGACGTCACATTTGTGCGTGCGACACTGAAAGCAGTGACGGCAAAGGCGAGTCTTGATCGCATGTTGCCATAGGATGCAGGGCTCCAACCAGGCATAGACCCTGAGTCAGGTGACCAGACGACCGAGTACCCCGGGGCATTTCGTGCAGCATGCCGTCAGCACACTGCCAGCACTGGACACACGTCACTGGACACCTGTGCAGATTGCAGCACAGCTGATTTGGGCGACAGCACTCTTTTCTGGCACGAAGCTCCAGAGGCCGCCTGCTGTCAGGCCTCGCAAGCAGTTCTAGTTTCAGCTTGGCAGGAATCCGGCGCGGGAAACCCAGTTCTCGGCATGCGAATTCCCAGCCGGACAGCTGCAGCATCAGAAGGCAGGTTAATATCGGAGGCGTCGGCAGAACTATCCACCGGGAAACGCTCCAAATAATCTGTGGAGAATTTGCGCAGAACGGGTGCTGAAGCTGCTTCGAACTCAAAAGTCCCATCATGTAGAGTTGAGGTTGCGCGGGAGCCATGTGACAAGCTCTTCATCGTGCAGAGCGCGCGGCTTTGCTGCTTGCCGTTTACCCAGGCTTGCATCAGCGGGTACGAATTCTTGCAGGCCTCTGTCAGATGGCGACTCCGAAAAAAGCCAGGGCAGGAAACCATACACCCTGACAAAGGCTCGACACTTCACTAAAGCTATCAGCACACTGGCAGGGTTCCTTGTCCAGTGCAAAGTTCCACAGCGAAGACACCACACTTTGCTGGCACATGGAAGCCGAGCTGTGGGCATTTTCAGACACCCGGCTCCAATGTGATTTATGAGAAATGGAGCAAGGTTGGACGAAGGCACGTCGGAAGGTGCACAACGCCAAAGAGTTGCTCAGACCTTCGCTGCTGCGAGATTTTGACCTGGGATTGCAAGACAAGTGTATGAGGGTTGATGCCAACAGTGAATCCACACCTAATCTAGCTGCTGTGTGCGGGACGGCTAGTAAGGTCGTTCCTCAACCGTGTCCGGGAATCTTCCATCGTCAACGCAACCGTGTCATGCCGAGCACGATGCCTGGATTGCGAGCTTTTGGCTGAGGGCAGTTGGCCTGCTTCGTGAGTAGAAGCCTTTGGCAAAGCCAATGCTTCCGCTGAACTTGCACGTGCTGGGACCTGGGTCCGTGACAAGCTTCATTACCATCCTGAGAATCTGAAGACTGATGTCGACACTGGGCCACACCCTCGCAACCCTTCCTGGCGACCCTGTCCTCAAACCCTCAGGGTGACGAACAGCCGGGCGAAACCCAGGCAAAAACGGGGCGCACAAACCCTAAGCATCCCTAAACCCTGAAGAAGACTCCAGGGGCCCAATCCCACACACTTCGAAGCCCTGATAATTCACAGATCAGCTCACACACCGAAGCACCGACCTCTCCGAGTTTGCCACTCTGAGCCGCCAACGGCAAATCTTCTTCCAGAACCTCTCGGATCTTGAGCAAACTCAAGCCGGCACATCCTTGTCCAAAGTCTCAGGCTGCAAGACTGACAACGTAAACCTGGACTCGAAAGCCTTTTGCAAACTTTCAATCTCTTCTCCCCCCCGGCAATGCGAAGTGGGGCTGCCGCCATCAAATGGCTCCGGCGAGCTCGTCACCGACGGAGCTCACTCCGCAAGTATGCGCCCGATAGCAGCTATTAGCCCTCTCCAGGCACGACACGCTCGGAGACACCCTCCATGATGAAACTCAACTTGGCATAGGCCTTTCCGGGCAGTCCGGTCTGATGCTCTATAGCCCTGCATCAGGGCGATGCTGTCGTGCTGACTCATCTGCACAACTTCGGATTCCTGCAGACAGCACAGGAACCTCGCACTTTTTGGCAACGGCGCAGGCCAAAACATCTGACATTCCGTTTGCCTGCGGCTGATACTCCCCAGGACCTGCGCTTGTCGGGGCATAGTTGCCTTAGTGCACCACTTGCGTGCACTACTTGGTGCTGACTCAGCTTCGACGCGGTGGATGCAAGCAGTGCTGTTGTTGGCTCGGCAGGCTTGCTGGCTAGGGCTAGGGTTTCACAGTATCTCGTCAAGACCTGAAGGTGACACCAGCACTCACGATCAAACGGCTACCACCAGCCCGTCACCAACGAAGCTTACTCCGAAAGTATGCGCCCGATTAGCCCTCTCCAGGCACGACACGCTCGGAGACACCCTCCATGGTGAAACGCAACTTGGCATAGGCCTTTGCGGGCAGTCCGGCCGGAGGTCTCAGCATGAGGGCGATGCTGTCGTGCTGACGCGTCTGCACAACTTCGGATTCCTGCAAACAGCACAGGAACCTCGCATTTTTAGCAACGGCGCAGGCCAAAACCTCTGACATTCCGTTTTCCTGTACCTGAAAGTCCCCCAAGCTTGCGCTTGTTGGGGCGGAGTTGCCTTGTTGCATCACTTGCTGCGATAACTACTTTGCGCTGACTCAGTGTGGAAGTAGCGATGCAAGCGGTGCTGTTGACTGCTCTGCAGGCTTGCCTGCTGGGGTTTCACGGACTGTATCGGAGCAAAACCTGAAGGTGAAGGTGACACCAGTACCTAAACGATCAATCGGCTCCAACGAGCCCATCACCGACAGAGCTCAGTGCGCAAGAATGCGGCCGATAGCAGCTAGTAACCATCTCCAGGCACAACACGTTTGCACAGGCGACTATCCCCACCCGGACTGGCAGGAACCAATCCGTCTGGCATCCTGTCAAAAGGCACCTGAGCCTCTGGACCTGCATTGCAACTCGTCGAAGCCTCGATTCTGTTTAGACGGATCCAAGCGGCGATACTCATGCTGCTGCCCCCGCACACCGCACACCTTCGAAAGTGGTGTTTCCAGGTCCAGGTCAGGCGTGTCACGCGACAGCCAAGCAGCAGCCTCTCCCGATTCTGATCGATTCTGTCTCTCTTCTTCGTTTCGATGAATCCGGCTGTTTGGCCCAGGCAGCAGCCTCTGATGACTGTACGTCCTGTTTCTTTGGACCCATAGCCGGCTGCACCGATCCGGGAGAGACTTAGTCTGCACATGGCTGACGCAGACTCTTCAGGGCTGCTTGCCGCAATTGACTCAAACCCAGGCATCAGTGCTTAGACTTCTTACCTGCTGTCGCTGTCAGGTCTCTGCGACAGGAGCACCGACACCATCACCTATAGAATCCGGGGACTAAAATTTTAGGCGTTTCGCGAAACAACACTATTTTCAGGCGTTACGATTAAAAACAGGCGATTCAATTAAAAAGAGTAGTTTCGATCTCTGGCGGGGTTTTGCCGAACGACAGCCGTGATTTCAATGGTGTCATGCCCTACATTGGACTGATAGTAGACAAGACACCCGTATACAACCGTCATGATGCGTGCGCAAGACATGTGATGGGTATATGACGGATGACAGATGCATCATTGGATGGATGGACAGGTGGATGATGGACAAGCGGATGATTTATAGATGGATGGATGGATGAATGGATGGATGGTTGGTTGGTGGTAGAATGGACGGATGGATGGCCGCATGCCGCATCAATTCCAGAGCACTTCAAAGCCGAAGACATTGACCTGAACCCATATATAGCATATATGAGGGTTTCCGAAACTAGAGGACCCTAGGCCAATATAGTACCCTAAATAATAGCATCCTTATATAAGTATATAATATAAGGACCCCAAAATAAGGTACCCCTAATTTCGGAAACTCCCATATATATACCCGCTACCCACTCCTAAGGTGAATAAGTGCATATCTTGGCATTGGCTTTGAATCGAGGCTGATCAGGGTGAGGTACGTATGTAGGTTACTTAAGTCGCTTCATGTGAGAGGATCTAAGGGTGGAGTTGAGGGTCAATGCTTATATTCGCCTCTCTCCGGAATCGAGGACCTGAATCTTTCTGGGCTTTGTTCGGGATGTTTGTAAAGGTCGGGGTACAGACTCGGTGAACACTCGCCCGGTGCCCTTGTGAAGTTTTCCGGCTGGTGCCTGGGGATGTCGATCAGCGGACAGCTGCAGCGTCCAATTATCATGAGGTAGCCAGATCCCACTAAATTCCCAATATGTATGTGCCTCAAACTAACGACCTATATATGTTAAACCCTATATACCCGAACACAGAGCCACCTTCTGTGCACGTGCAGCAGCACGACGTTCCGGGAATCATTGAGACCAGTATGCAGGAACCTACAAGGCTGCATGTATGATCGAGGAGTTACATTATAAGGTCTAGCTTGACTTACATATTTACACATGGATCCGGACCCGGATTGGTCAGCTTGACCATGCATGGCGTGAGACAGGCCAGAGCCTTAATTACGCTTGCGCTTCTTTCCAACTTCAGGGGAACGCAAGTACTTCCTATGAAGGCTAAAAGCTTTGGTGAGGTACATGGTAATAACACGTTCACATACACGGCGCTGGTGCATCTTTCTCGACAGCCGGCAAATCCGGCCGATGAAATCTTCGTTGCCTTCGCATCCATACATAAGACACGATGGCTGTCGCCTGTGCGGCAGCCTTTCTCGGATTTCAGACACTGTGTGGCACAGCATGTGCAGCTTAGGCTTCATTGCGTAGCCAGCGAAACCGCCCAAGTCATGCAGGCAAAGGTGAGCCATGAAGTTGTAGCATTTCAAAAACCTGTTGCCATGCTGTAGAATATACTTGCTACAGGATTGCTTCCACCACAAACCATGCTGGTACATCGCCTTCAAAAATGTGCGAGCTGCAGCAGCCCCTGCTTGGATGCCTTCCAGAACCCTTGTGTGACCGGGTTCCAGGATTCTGTGGAGGCAGGAAGTGCACAAGAGCTCGATCCATTCCACCAGCAGCATGGCATCGGATCCTTTGCATTTTGCCCATGGGTAATGCTTCCGCGTCGAAGCATTGAGCCAACTCTTGTTGAAACCATGCATGTTCGGAGCAGCACCCTTCACGGAGCAAAAGAGCTTGAAGTGACCGAACAAGCGTTCCAGTGTAGAATTCCTCGAGTTCCCAGCCCGGTCAGGCACAGCATAGTAGCCCAACTCGATAATAAGCAACATGCTGCTAGCTATGTAATCTTGTAGAACACCCACCTTGGAATTGTGGAAAATGTCCCTTCTAAGAATTGCTTCGGGCTTCGTTTTGTCGAACGGAACCTGAAGCAGTCCCGTCTTTGGGCTTTGTGACCATGGACGCTGCTCATAAATCGTAGATGACCAAGCCGGCACCCTGCTGAGGTCTTCGAATGGTTTGTCGCTGGTTCCAGCCAGGCACTCATGGCACATCAGTCGATCTTCAACATACGACAGGTGCAGGAAGCACCTGTCGAGCTGACCAAGTTTTGCAAACCAAGCAAGATCTCCCTTGCAGCCCACACAAGCCACATTGTAAACCTGGTTGCGCACAACGATGCCCTCATAGAAAAGAGACCTCAGGTCTCGAAAGACAACTTCCAAGAGCCCGGTCATGACATCACTGTTCTTGTATATCTTCCCGGGGAGTAAGAAAACCAGGAGCTTGGTCAGGTAGGAGTGGAACTTCAGGTTCAAGTTTTGATTGTCGCACAGTAGAACATCGTTAGCAGCATTTTGTTTGCAGCACTCCATAACATCGTACTTCTCTGAAGTGTGGCTGTCCAGTCCTAAAGGGCTTTCGAGTGAGCACACTGTCGTGTTGCCCTTCCGTACCCCTCGTCCCTCATCTCCATGGAAAAGAACAGGTATTGTTGTGCGTAACAGCAGAGTTCCGCTGGCAGCTTCTTTGAAGATCTGATGTTCAGGGTGAGCCAACCTGTAAGCATCCCAGAAACTCTGAAGGTGGGGCTTGGCAGCTTCAAGATCCCGTAGCCCACCACACAGTAGCTCCGGGGTCTTTGACAAATGGTGCGTCAGCAGTGCCCTTGGAGAAAGGTAGGGCACCCGGTACTCGGAGGAATGTTCATAGGTTGATAGTGGAATATTCCAACGAAGGCCCCATTTCTTCACAAGTCGATCAGCATCACGAAATGCATTCCTTAAGATTATTATATAGGCGGACAATCAACCCCTCCAGAAATCAATCTATAAACTATCTACAGATATTCCAACTATAGTAAAATTAATAATTAACCCAACTTCTCCCACCCAGATTCTGTGTCGGAGCACTAGACCTGCCGAGGTCTCTCGGCACATCGCTTCTGGCGTTGGCTGCCAAGGTCTGTAGTGTTGTAGCTGGGACCTGGGTTCAATCTATATATACATTAACGTTTAGTATCTGCTTCAACAGACTATGAAATCTGGGTTTTATTGGGCTCTGATTTTCACAAAGGGACCCAGTATAGTCTTCAACAGAATTCTAGAGGACATTGTGCTCAGCACTGCCTCGAATTTATCATACAGTCTCGGATTAAGGGGTTTGTATTATAGACGGTTGTCTGGGCTTTGATTTTAAGAAACGGACCCAAGCATCAACACAAGAATTCTAGAGGACACCGTGCTCAGCAGTCCCTGGCATTTCGGATTACGGCGGGTTCTTAGGGTTAGGGTTTGTGGGCTGTGAAATTCAGAAACGGACCCAGTACTCAAAAGAACTAGAATTCTAAGACACTGTATGCTACTTAGAAATTTATACGGGCGCTGGCGAACCTCAGGCCGCAGCACAATCTGCGAAAGCTTCAGCATAGACTTCAGCAAACCGCCCCGGGCCATCAAAGGCCTCCTCTTCCAGCTCACCTGGCATATGCAATAACATATTAGAGGCACACCGATACATACTGTGGTAGCTTGCATGACCACACAACCTCCATTTTCTTTCCCGCAAGAGCTGCCACCTCGATCCTAGTAGGTGCATTGTGCGGGCAATATGATGCATGGCGTACCAGTCTGTACACTCGGCACTACGTGGCTTCTGTGTGCACATGTACAATATATAGATATATACACGATAGAATCAGGATAAGTTCTGCTAGGTGCTTGGATAGGAACCATTGGCACAGAGCTCTGCACATGCACTTAAGTGTCCTCACACGTTTCACTCCAACAGCTTGGAAGCATGCACACCGAACATGGATAGGCATGCATGTGTTATATATTAGATCATGCACAGCTGTTGGCAGGAAACGTGCCGAAACATCCACTGCACACACACTCACTTCGAAGCATGATAGGCAGTATCGGGGACCGACAACAACTCAAATCAAAATCAGCTCCTGCGCCTTTTGGAGGCAGGTGGCTCTGATGCTGGCTCGGGCCGACCCTTCGCAGAAGCCTTGGCCTTGGCTTTCACTTGTCTCTTCGGAGCCGCTTTGGCCTTCCCACCCGGCTTGCCCTTCGCTGCCAGTTTCGGGATGAATGGCCTGGCAACAGTCCAAGCCAGGTGGTTCGAGGTTCAAGGGGAAAATCGTAGCTTGCAAATTAGTGAGGCCACCGGCCTGCAGCGGGTTTCGAGGCCCAGGGACTCAGCAGCCCTAGGATGCAATGTGCTTCAGAAATCAGACTAAATGCTAACACTCGAGCTTCATTTAAATTGGGCATATCTAGAAGAATCACCGCACCAAGACACTTCATCTGAGCTGCATCCATCTGCTCCCTCGCATGGGCTTGTGACCTCAGATAGATACATATATATATATATATATATATATATATATATATATATATCTGCTAGCTACTATATACATCCCTCACAACACACCCATATATGTATATATATATAATATATATATAAATTATGTTATATATATATATGTATTCATATAAAAAGTCTACTTCCGTGAACGGTACATCGATCAGCCATATAGCACACTTGTTC